GCTACGTCACTGGTTCAAGGTCACAGAGCTGCTCAGGCAGAAGACCCAGAATGTGACCCCAGGACCTCCAGCCCCAAGGTCACCTTCTGAGTCGGCAGGTTAAGCCCCTGAGGAGAACTGAAACACGGGGGAGGGGCGGAGAGGAGAATCCAGTGACTGTCTGTACATTATGTTCTAACTGTTCCCATGTGAGAGCCAGACATTCGGACACTAGTCTGTGTGACGGGAGAGTTCTGGGCACTTTGGGAAGAGCAATGTCGCTTCCCCTCCTGGAGACCCCGTGCCCCTTCGCACGAGCAGCTGAGGCTTTCCCTCCGCAGGCCCCTTCTCCTGTGTGAAGCCCTGGCAGGTGGCCGTGGGGGTGACCGTGGGGGTGATTATTCTGGCTCTGTTTGGAACCCTGGTCGGTGTGGTGTTCTTCTGGCGACAACAAAAGAAAATCAGGGACTTGAACGAGGAGAAGGAGAGGGAGCGAAGCGCCAAAGGTGAGGCCTGGCTGCAGGTGGGTGGGACCTCCCCGCCCCAGGCCGCCCACCCACAGCGCGGGTTCCCCTTTCCGTGCCCATGACAGCACCTTCTCTTTCCACTTATTTCCAGAGACGCTGCAGGAGGAGCTCAGTAAGTCTTGATCCCCACCACACAGGTTCTGGGGTCCCTGGTTACCCACCTCACCGAACACTCCCATTTCCCCTGCAGGGAAGAGGAAGCAGCAGTACCTGGCACGTGAGTACCTAGACTTGGACCTGCATCTGAGACTCTCTGCTGGGATCTATCCAGGCCCTTCCTCACCCCTGACGTCCAGGGGAAGGAATGAGGACCCTGATGGGGAAGGTCGGCAGGGTTTCCTCCCTGGAGAAAGGGGTCAGGCTCTCCCCACCAGGCCGCTCGCACCCGGATGTCCAGGGAAACCCAGAAAGGAGAGGGGAGATAGATTCATGATGTGAGTCCTCCCTCCCTGGCTCCTGTACAGAATCTATAGGCTTCTGAGAGAAAACCAGAAGGAGAGAGAACATTCTCTTCTAAGGAGGAGGGGCTGGATTTATCATAACTGCTGAAAAGTCGTGTCTGAAATTTTCTCATTAAGTTGCCCAATTCTTTTTGGAAAATGGCAGGAATTCATACAGATTGAGATCGATGGATTTCACCACACATATGAATAAACGCACAGGGCAAGCCTAGCCAGGTACAGGAGAAAGACAGTGACCTCATAAGCCAGGGGCATGTGATCCATGACCCCAGTGGGTGCCTGGCCAATGGATAGCACCGTACCCTGTGTATAGGAGGTTTCTCCTTCTCACTTAAAGGAAAGCTTCTCATTGCCACACCCCACTGGCCAGCGTCACTGCAATGATGGGTCATTATTAAGTAACATCAGGGGACTTTCACACCAGCCCTGTGACGCTGAGGCAGATCTGACCACAGAGCCGGCTCCTCAGTGACTAAGTTACTCATGGGAGGGTCATAGGGTGGACATGCTGGGCACAGGGATGGTTCTCAGGTTGGCATGTGAGAGACGGATGGCACAGGTGTCATCACACTGCTCAGAATGATGTGCAATTTAACACTTATGAATTGTTTATTTCTGGAATTTTCTATTTAATATTTTCCAACTGTGGGTGACAGAGGGTAACTGAAACTTCAGAAAGTGAAACGATGGTGAAAGGTGACTCCTGTACAGACACATACAGGACAGACCTGCAGGTGCAGCTGGGAAAGCCCTACTTGGTGCCTGCAGGTCACTAGGTGCTGGTGACTTTAAAGAGGAGGGGGGAGCAGAGGGACAGAGAGATGGGGGGTCAAAAGGAAGAGAAAGGAAAGGACTCAGAAATGACAGTTGAGGTGACCCTGCCTGTCTTCCTCTGTGGATCATAAGTCTCAGGCCTATGCCGGTGAGTGACTCATGCTCTCTGGTTCCTGCACTTGTGTACAAAGCCCTTAAACCCTTTCTGTGCTGGTGAGGGATCATCAGACCCTGCTCAGAGCTCATGTTCTGTGGACGACCACCCTGCCTCTCTGGACATCCAGAGAGGACCTCCCAGCTCCAGCGTCCCCTCACCTGCTGCCACACACGCCCACACCTGGGCACAGCCTGGTCCCGTCACCCACAGCCCCACCGTGATGGAGGGAAGCCCAACATTCTGAGAGCTTTTATGCCTCCTCCTCAGAGCTGTGGAGGAAGGAAACTAGATATTGGTGGGAAGGAGAGAGAAGAGGCTCAGTGAGGAGAATGGGTGGGGGGAGAACAGAAATGATGACCTTTCCTTGCCTGTGTCTCCTTCCTTTCAGAGTGGAAGATGGCCCTTTACCAACCTGGTGAGTGAGTCACTGTGTTCCCTGGGACAACAAGAGAAGGTCCTGGCTCCCTCTTTCTTCTCCTGCTCTTGACTGGGGGACATCTGGGTGGGTGGCATGAGGTCCCCACAGTGTGCCCATCTGCTGCCAAGAGAGCCAGGGACAGCTGATGCCCTGGCTTCCCCAGGTCTGTGTGGGAAGGAGGAGGCGTGAGGGGTGGAGCTGGGGGCAGGGGGGAGAGGGAGGAGGTGACCTGGCCCAGCTGCTGCCCCTCCTGCCCTGAGCCTCCTCAAGGGGTGCCATGTTTCTGAGTTCCTTTGGAATGATGGTGGTAATTCCTACCCTGTGAGGGTGGAGGTGAGACTAGATGAGGTGAAGAGTGTGTGTTGGTCAAAAAATCCAAGAGGAGCACCATGGCCTTTTCATGATGGGTGTGTGTCTGACGGTAATGACCACAGTCAGGAGAAGGTTCTTAAGACCTAGAAGTGATGTAGACAACTCCTTAGATTATAACAGACTGAATTATAGAGTCATTTACTCACAGGGATATAGGGTTGGAGCAGACACACTCTATGTCAGTCTGCACAGACCTTTCACCACTAATGGACCTGTTACAGTACTTTTTTAATACACAACTCGGGTACTAATGGTTGTCAGGACAAAGGAAAAGGAGTGTGGCAGCATCAGCTCTACCTCCTGGGGGTCTTGTGGTGGAAGGTTCTTTAGAATCGATACCATCACGTTGGGTGTTGACCTCCTTGTCATGTCGTTCTAGTGTTACTAACAGAACTGTTTATGGCTACATTTTAAGGACCACACATCACCATCACCCTGAAGGCTTTGGTGGACCACACAACCATCACCCTGAAGGCTTTGGTGTGCCTGCTAAGGACAGGGAGGTTGGTCAAAGGTCACAGCATGAGAAGATGAAGGAAATCTGAGACACAGAGATGGAGTTGGTTTGATTCAGCCACACATGCCCAGTGAGA